ATATATATATAAACGAGTATTTCTGAGAAAAAAATCGTTTCTCATGCATATAATACATATATCTGTGTGCATAATCACAGACACATATACTTTCAAGTCTGCAAGTAGTTCTTTCTCACCGATCACCAGCACTTGGTTGCTCGACTCAAACAGCTCATAAAGACTATTCTCGGCCATGCCCTCGGTGGTGGTAAACAACCGAGAGCCTGAAACATATTGGCAGGTGACATCACACTCTCGCAAAACTTCCACCAGAGTTTGGGCGGCGAATGACTTCCCACAACCTGCTCATATTGATAGACAGAAGACACTGAATGTGATTAAAAGTCACAATAAAGCATTCTTTGATTGTTAAAGGAGAAATGGCCAGTACTAAAGGGTCAGAATTGCAATCTTTAATGCTGAAAGAAGCAATATTCGGTCCTAGTGGGTTATAATTACAATCGATTCACTTTCTAACCAGTATTGCACGAGATGAGATCAAAACGGATACACATACATACTCAGAGCAAAAGATGCCTACAGCTATCAAAAGCAAGACTCTCTTCCCTAGGTTCTGAGCCTTAGAAGTTGAGACTCCCAATGGAGAAAAAACTAATAAGCTGGAGCCGCATTCTGCCGATCTGCAAACGCTACTGTTTACTGTTGCATCACTTCCCATAGGGAAAGGCACACTAAACCCCCCAAGGAAGATACACAACGAGACATGGAGTACAACTGTTGAATACAATACAAAGCAAACTCAAGTTTATGTTCCATGTGGCACTTCTTCGGTGTGTGCCTAAAATATACCTGAGGGTCCGCTCAGAAGCAAGCAATGTGATGTATTGGCTTGGGAAATGGAAGCATTTGCCAGCTGGGCCAGGTCTGACAGTGTCTGGTGACTGTAGCCCAGTCGTGTGTACAGCTCGGATGTGATGTACTGCACATCACAGTTTGGCCGCGAGACCTGTAGGACTATAAGCACACACAAGGGGGGTATCAACGTTTTAGAATATAACCTTCAACTCAACAATAAACGGCGGAAAGAAATCAAGATACGATAAATATCGCACCAAAACATAACGGTTTGAAGAATGAATGACACACCCTGTGATGGTGCTCTTACGTCTGTAGTTTGGATCATAACAATCTCAGTATCTACCCCAATCCAGCTTGCTGTTGGGACACAATCCTCGTCCCCCATTCCTATGGACACTCCACTGAGTGCGTGGGCAGAAGGGTGTAGCACAGACACCGGCTGTTTTTGTGCAGTCTGGTGTTGGTCTCCATGCGAGTGTGATTGTCGAGTTTCGGTACACTGAGACCCAGTTTTTCCTCCACAAACCAAATTTTCGGTTCCAACTGGGATCGGTTTTCCAGTGCCTATCTGGACACGTGCGTACAAGGACTGACCGTAGCAATCGATAGAGACCACCCCGTTGTCGCACACAGGGGTGCCACACATCAGTACCTACATAGCCGTGAATAACATGTCATAAGTAGGTATACATTCATACACACACACATATATATATATATATATATGTGTGTGTGTGTGTGTGTGTGTGTGTGTGTGGTGTATATATATATATATGTGTGTGTGTGTGTGTGTGTGTGTA